CATTTGATTTCTTCATTAATCTTTTTCAATTAAGAATTATATTAGATATTTAATGATTACAAAGTTTTTGAAAATTTTTAAAAATCAGAAAATAAATTGAATGAATTATATTTGTAAAGATATCTGAAGTATAAATTTGTAATCAAATTAATCTAATTTTGAAAGAGGTTAATTCATGTTTTGAAATTAAAAATTAAATTATTTTACCACTATAAACTTGGATAATTATAACAATCAATCATTTGTTCCTTTTTTTTCTTCTTAAATTTGATCCATAGATTTGCTTTCAATAGCTGAATAAATTTCATAATGAATAAATTTAATTGTGAAATTGAACTAGATGATGAGTTCATCAAAAATAGTTACAGTTTTAAAAGCTAAAAAATGATGAGGGATTTATTTTTTTTCTAGATATTAATTAATGTATTTAAAATTATCTTCAAGGTAACATTGATGATATAATTCTGACTCTTTAAAAAGGTTTGTAGATAATCTCAGTGATTTATAACTGTTTATTATATTATGTAGATATTGAAAATTATAGTTGAAAGTAGCTCTTTTGGATGTATGTAAGAATTCACATAGAGCTTGAGTTAATCAGTATTTAAGATTATTAGAGGGTTGTGGGAAGATATAATTATTATCTCCTTAAATCTTAATCCTTGTAGGGGATATAATGCTTATTGATGATAAATGTATCTTTTCACTTTTCATATCAATTGACAGATAATAATAAAGGTTATGAAAATATGATCAAGAATAGAGTAGAATTATTGAAACAATCATCCAATGTAATTGATTTAACTTTGTTATACTTTAAAATACTTCTAAGATTGGCTTTATTTTTTAATTCTTTAAGTATCTTTTTTTTTGATCTTTGTTATTAATTGTATCTATTTTAAAAAACTACTTTTACAAAATTATTAATAATAATTTTTAAGACTAATCCTGCTTATTAGCAGAAATAAATTCAGTAAATCTATCATATAATATCTTAAATGATTTATACAAGAATATTGTGTTAAATTAGTTTTCTTTAAGTAATTATATCACTCTTTATTTTAATCTCTTCATTGTGCTTACTATTCTCTGTTTAGATTATTAATTTAATGTGGTATTATTAAAATTTTAATTTCTTTAAATATTACCTGAGAACAGTTTTTATTATATCCCCATAAATATTCCCTACGCTAAACTGACCATATATATATGAATAGTATTTAAGTAAAGGAGGTGTACATTAAATTAAATAGAATAAATGTATGGAAAATATTTGCTTACCTATCTTAAGCAGTGAAGATGATGAGTAGAATCTGATAAAGAAATAATTAACAAAAATATTGGATATTGATTATAATTGTTGTTGATAAATTATTTTTGCTTTAAGTCTTCTAAAAAGCAACTTCCTTTAGATTTAAATAAAGGTTTCAAATCTTTTCCTTAATGGCTTATAAATTCTCCTTTTAAAATAAGTGTACCTGATGCTTCTAATAAAGGATTCTAACAAATTCGAAGTATTGTACGATCTGGATCAACTAAATAATAGTAAATAACAAATACTATTTGGTAATAATGAGCTATTCATAAGTGGTATTTAAAACTAGGTAAATATATCTTTATAAAGAGTATTTATTAAGTCTATTTCCTTTAATGTTTTGACATCCCATAGACGGATAGAGTTATCATAACTACCAGAAGCTAATGTATTTCCATCAGGTGAGAAACAGACTGATGCTACCCAATTCTCATGACCATCTAATTTGGCTTATTATTATCCTGTTTTGACATCCCATAGACGGATAGACTTATCATTACTACCAGATGCTAATGTATTTCCATCAGGAGAGATACATGCTGATCTTACACTACTACTATGACCATCCAACTTATTTACCTCATGGATCTTAATATTTTTCCATTTACAGTTAAACATCTTAGCACCAGATAAGTTCAAACCACTTATATCTATATTATCAAATTTTGACCCACTTAAGTTGCATCGCACAAAGTTACCTCCAATCAAAGAAGCATCCTTTATCCTGATATTCTCAAAAGATTGGTTCCTGAGATCTACCTTCATAGCCACTAATAAACTAAGTCCATTTGATCCACATGTAATTTTAACTATAAACTTGAGGAAATCTATGATCCCCTTCTTATCCACAATTCTCTTAATGAGATCTTATTTTTCATTTTTATAAGTCACTGAAGAATAGTCATCCTTATTAAATTTATGATCCTGAATATTTCTCAACACATTCATGATTTTCTTTATTTTCTTTCTTATATTGCTTATATTGTCATGCTTGTTGATCAAAGATTCATAAAAGTGTTGATTATTTGTACTCGAAATGAATTCAAGGATGTCTGAAACATTATCTCTCCTCAGTATTTCTAGAATTTTCTTATATAATGAGTCATTGATATCCTGGACACAGATTAGCATTTCATAAAGATCTTCTTTCATTTAATAAACTTTGCTCTCTTCCTCTTCTTCATTAGATTGAATCCTAGAAATATGATTTAAATATTTACTAAATTATAGATTGAATCTATTGGATTCCTTCCTTCTACTTTTCAATAAAAGCCTTACTGTGATGGTTCCACCGACTCTTGATCTTATCTAACTCCTTCAGATAAAAATTCTTCTAAGCATTCCATCATTTATAATTGTTCCTTCTACAATATTTACTATTTTTTCTAAGTCCGTGGCGGAGGTTTCAGCTAGATTGATATCTTCGTTAATGAGATTAACTAATGATTATTATTCCTGTTCAATCCAATCATGTATTTATTTGATAGATTTTGATAATTCTTCCCAAATTGTCTTCAGCATTGATTCGGTTTGAGAGACCAAGAATTTAAAATCAGTTCTCTATTAGGTTAACTTGATAGTCTCATCAAGTTTTGAGTCTTTTAATTTCTGAATAGCTAATTTTTGAAATATCCTTATTGGAACTGTCTATTTCAAATCTACTTCATGTTCATACTGGCATTCAGCACAAATTTTTCTTTGACACATACAATTGTGAGGAGCTATACATACAAATGCTATAGGATTTCCAATGTGATTGGGGCAAATTATCATATTTTATTTTTAATATCGAATTTATTTACTTTAATTTTAAGTTAAATATAGCAAAAATTGAAAACAGTATTTTAAGTTGTTTTTTTAAATTTGTAGTTCTGACATTGTGTATATCTGAAATATGATAATAAAAGTAGAATTTTTTCTTTGAGAAATCATTTCAAGATTTGCTTAGCTTAATTCTTGAATAATATAGAATATCTTATGTTGATATGAATATTTTAATATATACGTAATTTGAGTTCTATGAATGAATAAGTATAAATCAAGATTTCAGCAAACAATTTACAGATTAGAATATGTCTGAACAAAATTTTGTTCATTCTTTAAAATATGTAAAATAAATGATTTTAACACTAGGATAAGTGAAATCATGAGTAAAAGAGTGTAAGGTTAACAAGAATGGATCTTTTCTAATTTGTATCAATAAATATGAATAGTAAGGCTTATAAAGTTAGATCTATTTTATGAACCTTGAATTTTAGAGCTCATAATGAACCATTGGACTCTTCTTAATGTGTTACGGCATAAAAATTTTTAAATGTTCTTGAAGATCGTTAGAGGACAGCTTTAAGGATTTTAAGAGTATAGGTAGTCTCTAATTACCCTCCAAGATCTTCAAGGATGTTTAAAATACTAATGGAAAACCAAGTAAGATGGTCATAAGTATTGGGTAATGTTAGTCTTCTGATAGAAATATATTAGCTTCTGCTAGTAGAGATGAGTCTAATTGACTATATGGATTGTAAAACAGAATAATAGAAAGCAAATTTAAATGGCCACAAGACTTTTGTAATGCTATTCTGTTTCTCTTCTGATAGAAATTCATGAGCTTCTAGTAGTTAAGATGAGTCTATCAGTTTATGGGATTTAAAAATAGAAAATAGAAAGCCAATTTAAATGGCCATGAGAATTGGGTAATGCATGTTTCTTAGAGATATAAAGAAGCTTCTGATAGTTGGGATCAATCTATCTGCCTCAAAGGATGCAAAATCAAGTTCATAGAAGCCATTTTGGATAGTCATGATAACTGGGTAAATTCAATCTGTTTCTCATCTGATAGACATACATAAACTGTGGTAATTAAGATTATTATTATTATTATTATTATTATTATTATTATTATTATTCTATTTAACACAAACATAGACTCAATCAATCAGTCAGAAACTATGCGATTATTTTTTCTAAT